GCTGTCCGAACCCGAAGGCAGCCAGCAGCCTGCCCTGGCCCCATCTCTGCCTCTGATGCAGAGCTCTCCTCCGGGCCTTCCTCAGCCCCAGAACTGGCCCAGGCTCTTCCCCAACCTCCTCACTACTGTCCGACTCTCCTACCAGCTCCATCAGTTGCCAGTGGGCCACAACCGTTTGTATAAAAGTCCCACATGGTGTCCCAACTATGTAGCCCTTGCTTACGCTAGCTAGGGCAGTATTTTTCAATCTTGGACACTTTAATATGCTGGCTGGAAAATTCTGGGAGTTGAAGTCCGCATGGCTAAAAGTGGCTAAGGTTAAGAGACAATGGTCCAATCTGTAAGTACTTTCTTTGAAGTTTCATCCCATGGGTTGCGTTTCTACCCCTGGCAAAGATTTCCCAAGTATTTGGTCTGCCGCAAGGAACTATCCTTTGAATGTTGTGGATTCCCTGTTCCAGAGATGAATCCAGCTCTCTGTGGCCGAACATAGCCAGGATCAGTTACGCGAGAATGCTTGTCACTCCTACTTCATTTCTAATCCTTACTTTAGATCAGTGGTTGCCAACCGGTGGGCTGGAGACCACTGGTGGGCCGTGAGAAAATTTTGATGGCCCGCAGAGAAATGTCCCCCCCAAAAGCAATAAATCCAGGCTGCACGGGAACACAAGGCTGCGCCACCCACATGGCCTGCCCACCCGCTGGCCCACACCCTTCGGCCAAGCGCAAACCTGACCTTGAGTAGAGCCACGCGAGCTGGAACTGGAAGGTAAGACCAACGGCGGGGGAGGGAAATCCGCCCCTGAGGGGCTTGCTGACGTTGGTGGGAAAATCAGTCCCATATTCCAGAGCTGCAGTAGTCACAGGACTGGCCCTTTGATCATCCCGGAGCAGCTACTCCAGTCCATGGCAGGCTGGAGCACCCAGGTGGAGGAGCTGTGGGATGACCAGGGATGGCCAGTCCTGTGACTAATGCCGCTCTGGAATATGGGACCGACTTTCCCACCAACGTCAGCAAGCCACTGTCAGTCAAAATTCATATTAGCGGTCCGCGGGATTTAAAATTATGAGTTTGGTGGTCCCTGAGGTCCAAAAGGTTGGCGACCCCTGTTTTAGATGACTTTTTTTTTTCCAACTTTCATCCAATGAAAAGAAGGGCTAGGGGTGACAAGTCTTCCAATATCTGAGGGGCTACCGCAAAGGAAAACCTGTTCTCTCAAACACCTGAAGGCAGGACAAGAAGCGACGACGGATGGAAACTAATCAAGGAGAGAAACAACTTGGAACTAAGGAGAAATTTTCTGACAATGAGAACAATCAGTGGAACAACTTGCCTCCAGAAATTGTAAGTCAGGGTGTCAAACTCACATCATCCCAGTTGTGTCACATCAGGACTTTCCCCCCCCCTTCGTTAAACCAGGTATGGGTGTGGCCATCCTTGTTTGACAGTCCTATTGTAGGTGCTCACCAAAACTGGAGGTATTTAAGAAGAGATTGGACAGCCATTTGTCTGAAATGATATGGGGTCTCCTGCCTGAGCAAGGGGCTGGACTAGAAGACCTCCAAGGTCCCTTCCAACCCTTGTTATTCTGTTACTCTGCTATTTTGGCCACTTTCAGATATGTGGACTTCAACTCCCACAACTCTTCAACTAGGATAGCCTGCTGAGGAACTCTGGGAGTTGAAGTCCAGGCATTTTAAAGGGGCCATGCTTGCAAAACACTGGTTATATGGACAATTCAACCCATCTGGAGGTCAACATTTCTAAAAGGTTAAGAAATTTACAAGCAGGATCTAACCAAGGCAGCACACATACCACCAACCCCCACTAGTCTACCGACTGCAGTGTTACGGGAAGCCATAGCTTGTTTCTCCATGATTGCATCAGCCAATTGCACAGGTCACTTTTGAACGGTCAGATTCCTGTTTGTCAGATTAGAACACTTGAGAAGCATACGCCAACCATAAGAGACCCCAGCTCTACCCAGACAGCAGTTGAAGCTCAAAGACCAAAAAAGGAAACCTCCAATTTCGATTCGTCCACCCCATAGATTCTAGATGGAAGGAAATGAATTCTAAGCCAACCAGGAATTCCTTCCAAGACAGTGCCAAAGGCATAGAACTCTGTAATGGTAGTTTAATACTCTGACAATATCAGCAGAGGCTTAGTAAGTATAATAAATATAATTCTAGTTCCGGAGATCGCAAGATGTCCGTTTCTTCTCTTACAAGTATACTTAGAACTCGTGCTTTTAGAATGGAGGGGCCTTGTGGTAAAACGGGAGGTCAAGAAATTTAATAAAATAACAATAAATAAAATATTCCAGAGGACAGGAGGAGAACTAAAATCTGGAAAACTGTAGGGATTTCTTTAGAGACTGGTTGTGGGTCAGTGGATGAGACTCCTTGGGGAAGTTGGAGCTTTGTCACAGAAGAATATGAAAAAGATATTATATACATCTTGATCTTTGTAATATATATTCAGAGTGCCAATTTGGTCTAGTAGTTAGTTAAGGCACCGGGCTACAAAGTAGGAAATTGTGAGTTCTGGTCCCACCTTAGGCATGAAAGCACTCTGGGGGATTTTGGGCCAATCACCAGGAAAGGGTGAGTTCTAGTCCCGGCCTAGGTTTAAAAGCCAGCCGGGTGATTTTTGGGTAAATCACTAGGGGACAGGAATTCTAGCCCCACCTTAGGCACAAAAGCTGGCAGGAGGAGTTTGTGCCAATCACCAGAACGTAGATTCTAGTCCCGCCTTTGGTGTGAAAGCTGGCTTGATAAGTTTGGGTCAAACACCTGGAGATGGTGAGTTCTAGTCCCACCTTAGGCGTGAAAGATGGCTGGGTGACTTGATGCCAGTCATTCTCTCACAATCCAAACCACCTCGCAGGATTGTGGGGAAAAAAGAGGGTTTTTTTAAAAAGAATGCTATCTATCTTATAAAGTAATAAAGGTGGGATACAAATAAATAAATAAATAAACAATAAATAAATAAATAACAATAAAAGGCAATCCAAATCACCACAATGTATCTAGACCCTGGTCTATCTTGTCATGTTGGTGCCGGACAATGGGAAAATAGATGGAAACAAGAAAGGGTAACGGCACGCATGCATACTAGAACGTTTATGCTATTTCTAGAATTAACATACAGATAGCTCTCGTTTAGCGACCATAATTGGGACAAGCAACTTGGTCATTAAGCAAAGCGGTCGCTAAGTGCAACGGTGACCATGCTTAAGGTTTTACTTCCGCTTTCCTTTGCTTTCCTTCTTTCCAACTGGCAAAGGCTGTCAACATGAGGTTTGGTTGGAAAGTTACTTTTTCATTGTAACGGCGAATGGTTGCTAAATAGGCAGTCACTAATCGAGGCGTTGTAGATGTCTGGGATTGTTCAAATGTGTGTTTCAAGTGCCTGGGAGCAAGGAAAACTAGACTATCCTTTCTTGACCAACAAGGATTATCAGCTCTCCTGATAATGGCATAAATCTTAGTTCAAAAGACAAGCCTTCACAGTAAGGCCCTTGTTTTCCTTGGACCAGTGCCCTGATCCGCAGCTTACAATTAAGCGAGCTTTAATTGCTTCCAGGTAATCGGTTACACACCCTCAAATCTGCCTGTTCATTGATAAGTATCAAAGCAAAAAGACCAGTGAGATCACCAGACTCCCAGTGATAAACCTCAGACTCAAGTGAAAAGACCAATAGAAGGTATTTTTCTGTACAGGTAGTCCTTGACTTATGAGGGGTCGCTTAGCGACCCATTGAAGTTTTGACAGGGCTACCTGGGGAGTGTTACCTAAGATCCAAATTCCAATTTTCAACAGCCACTCACCTTCTTGGCTGTTTGCAGCAACTTGCAGTCCTATAATTCTGTTTTATAACATTTTTGCCGAACGCCAGCGTTTATTTCCGGGTTAAAACAATGCCCATTAGCAAATTACTGGTTGGTTTAACGACCACTGTGTTTGCTTAATTAGCCCAGTGTTGGCTTAATGACCGCAATGATTCTGCTGCTACAAACAAGCTTGTAAAATTGGGTCAGTGCTGGTATGCTACCGGTTCGGGCGAACCAGTAGTAAAAATCACTAGGGGTAGTAAAAAAAAAAGCCTCCAATAATCAGCTGAGAGGATAAAAGACCAAAAAGTGCATTGGGTGGGTGGAGGGTTGCTCCTAGCTTTTAATTTCTTCATCCTCTCAGCTGACTGGCTTGTTAGGTGACTACGCGCACGATCAACCACCAATCAATCCCACTACTGGGTCAGTCCCGTGATTTCCCAACTCTCAGAAGTTATGACCGCGATGGGCAGGCTCCATTATGGTCATAATTCAAGGACTACTTTTATATAAATTAGGCAATGTAATAGACCGGTCTCAGAGGATGACAGGAAACAGCTCCTGCTAAAAGTCCTGATTCTTATCAGCATCAAGTTTTTAGGTAGAGAAGAACCTAGTCACTGGTTGGTGCATTTTGTACATTTTTGTTGACAAGACTACAGGAAGTCCTTGACTTATGACCACAATAGAACCCCAAATTTCCATGGCTCAGCAAGGCTGTTAAGTGAGCTTTGCCCCATTTTGCAACCTTTCTTCCCATAGTTGGTTCAGCAAATGACTGCACTTCTTAAATCAAAGGTCCCCAAACTTGGCAACTTTAAGACTTGTGGACTTCAACTCCCAGAATTTCAGAATGGTCGTTAAACGAATCCAGCTACCCCCCCCCCATTCACTTCACTTCTTGGAAGCCTGCTTAGAAGGTTACAGACAGCGACCACCTGACCCCGGGACACTGCAACCGTCATAAATATGAACCAGTTGCCAAGTGTATTGAATTTTGATCACGCGACTGTGGGGAATCCTGCAACGGTCACCAGGGGTGAAAAACTGGTCACGAGTCCCTTCTTTCAGCACCGTTAGAACTTCAAACGGTCACTAAGCGAACGGCTGTAAGCCAAGGACTGCCCGCAGAGCTTCGCCTTTGCCAAAGGACAAAAGTTTGACCTTACCTGAGGGAAGTCCCCATTTCTGGGTAAGAAATCAGCAAGGCCTTGAGGTGCAAAGTTGGAATCTGAGAAAAGCCCGTTGGTGGAATTTGTGTAGAAATTCGAAGGGGTATTAAAATATTGCCTGCAAAGGAACGGAAACTATTATCGGATCGGAGACATCATACTGAAAGTGCTTTGCCCTGTGACTGCAGAGGCAGATGGTGGAGTGCAGCTTTTATTTAACAAAACAAAACAAAACAGAGCAAGAGAGAAAATAAAGTGAAAAACAAGGAACACAAAGCCACAATCAAAAGTGAAAAACAAAGAAAACAATACCAAAGCCAAATTTATATATATAAGAACTACGTCCTTCTATATGTATATTATACAGGTGGTCCTCGACTTATGGCCACAATTGAGCCCAACATTTCTGTTGCTAAGGGAGACACTTGTTAAGTGAATTTTGCCCCCTTTTTATGACATTTCTGGCCACAGTTGTTAAGCGAATCACAGCAGTGGGTAAGTTAGCAACATGGTTGTTAAGTGAATCTGGACTGCCTTGTGGAGTTTGCTTGTCAGAAGGTCACAAAATGGGAATCCCGTGACCCTGGGACACTGCAAACCATCATAAATATGAACCACTTGCCAAGTGTCTGAATTTTGATCACGCAACCACGGAGAGGCTGCAACGGTCGTAAGTGTGAAAAATCATCATACGTCACTTTTTTCAGGGCCGCTGTAACTTTGAACGGTCTCTAAATGAACTGTTGTAAACCAAGGACTACCTGAATATAAAAAAAGGACGACTATATTTCACTAGCATTGACAATGAATGCTTGAAAAGATTCAGAATTTAAATATTTTGATACATCATCTCTATCAGTCACCCCAAAGGCTTTAGATGGCTCGATTCGATCCTTACACTCTCTCCCCAATCAGCAGCTCTCCAGAAGTTTGACTTATGACCATTTTTCACACTTACAGCCGTTGCAATGTCCCCTTAGTCACACGGTCAACATTCAGGCGCTTGTCAACTGACTCACATTTATGACCCTTACAGTATCCTGAGCTCATGTTTTGAGACCTTCTGACAAGCAAAGTCAGAATGGGAAAAGCAGATTTAACAACGGCAGTGATTCACTTAACAACAGTGGCAAGAAGGTTGTAAAATGGAGCAAAATTCTATTTTCGACCACAACCGAGCCCAACCTTTTTGTTGTTAAGCGTGACATTTGTTAAGTGAGTTTTGCTCCATTTTACAACGGTTCTTACCTCTGTGGTTAATCACTGCAGTTCATAAGTTTGTAACCTGGTTGTTAAGTGAATCCGGCTTCCCCATTGACTTTACTTGTCAGAAGGACTCAAAAGGAGAGTTTGCAATGGTCATAAATATGAACCAGTTGCCAAGCATCTGAATTTTGATCACGTGGCCATGGGGGGGCTGCAAAGTCCGTAACTCTGAAAAACAGTCACCAGTCCCTTTTTCCAGTGCTGTTGTAACGTTGAATGGTCATTCAACGAACTGTTGTAAGTAGAGAACTGCCTGTCCTAAGGAGGAACTGCTTATGTTGGACCTCCTATATCTCTTTAAACCCTGGGAGGATAACTTGTGAACCGGATAAATGCAGGCCAGAGCCATTGAGGGCTCCCAGTTTGCAAAATTCAATGTTAACTCTGGTTTGGGTGTCAGAGAAGTGGCCCGGGCTTGGTTAGATCCACAAGACCAGGGATCTCCAAACTTGGCAACTTCTGAGACTGGTAGATTTCAACAAGTCTTGAGTTGAAGTCCACAAGTCTTAAAGTTGCCAAGGTTGGAGACTTCTGCACAAGACTTGGGTTAAGTTTCCTAGCTTGTGTTTAAATCTCCTGCCCACACATCTCTTTCCTAAGCGTACTCATGAATTCCTCGGTGAGGACCAGCCACCTGACGAGTCATCCTTCCACAAGAGAGAGAGAGAGGGAGGGAGGGAGAGAGAGAGATAGAGAGATGGAAAGCCGCCTCCTCGGCTTACGCAAAGCAGGATAAACAGTGGCCAGTTCACATCCTGGAGAGCGGGGGCTGGAGCCACGATAAGGAGGAGGACACTGACGCCAGCTTTCCACCCTTTAAAAAGCTCTCGGTTAAAAAGAGAGTCTGCCGGTCGAAACCTCTGCCCACAAAGCTTGACACCTTCAGTTTTGCTCTTACTCTCCCCGGCCCGGCTTGTGGGAAGGTCCCCTCTTTCAAATGCCTCATCTTTCCAGTAAAAGGATGGCAGCGCGCTACTCTGTGACGATGAACGACGGGCTCAGCCACAGAGGGCCAGGCAGGGTGCCAAGGCTTACGTCCTGCAGAGTGGCTGACAGTACGTGGGGACCCCTGCAGGAAGACTGAGGCATTTCACTCCCCCCCGCATCCCCGAAGCTGGTCTGTTGGAAGAAACAGACCAGCCTCGGGGTCAGTGCTCAGGAGCAGGGATGGAATTCAAAGCGGTGTAACCACCGGTTCGGCGTGCACAGCCTTTGCCACTCACTTTCTCGTGCAAGCCCTGGGTGTGAAACAGCTGTGCTGCAAAATAAATAAAGCACAGACTAGACCACGGGTCGCCAACCTTTTGGACCTCAGGGACCACCAAAGTCATAATTTTAAATCCCGCAGACCCTGGGGAAATCCCAAAAATAGTCTGCAGCAAAATTTCCCACCCCGTTTTCCTACCGATTGATCATTCTTTATTTGGGACCATAGGATACCGTCTCTAGCTCTGTTCTCAGGGGGAGAGAGAGAGAGAGAGAGAGACTTTTGGCTTCATGCAAGGAAAGCAGCAGAAGCAGCAAAAGTCTTTCTTTCTCTTCCCCCAAACTCCGCCAGAAATGCCTCTTGGAACCGGATGCCTTGCAAGGTCCCAAAGACTCGTTTCTGGTGGAGTTTGGGGGAAGAGAAAGAAAAACTTTTGATGCTTTCCTTGAATGCAGCCAAAAGCAGGAGAAGAAGCGGAAAGGAGCAGCCCAGTGGCCAGGCGAGGCACATGGGGCATGTGGGGCAAGTTCCCCCCCTCCGCCCTTTCCCCCCTCCCCTCGCTACCTCGTGTTGTTTGCAATGCAAGCGACGCAAGCCTTGCGTTCCCACAGGCCATGTGGGCGGCGCAGCCTTGTGTTCCCACGCAGCCTGGATTAATTGCTTTGGGGGAGACATTTCTCTGCGGACCACCAAAATTTTCTCACGGATCACCAGTGGTCCCCGGCCCACTGGTTGGCAACCACTAGGCTGGGCCAGTGGGCCCAACAGCCGATCGTCGGAGTCGAACTGGTAGAATCGCATCCCTGGTTCAGGGTGCCAAGCTCAAAGGAAAGAACCCTAAACCAGGGCTGGCCGATTGATGAAACCGTGTTTCTCTCTCTCTCTCTCTCTCTCTCTCTCTCTCTCTCGTGGGTCGGGAGGGATTCGCAATGCAACTGGGGATGCAGGAAGCACTTGGTTGATCTAGCTCTCTGTGGGTTTGTGTGTGTTAATTCTTCATGTTTTCAATCTTCTTGACATCAGCAAGCACAGGTAGTCCTCGACTTACGACAGTTCATTCAGGTACCGTTCGAAGTTACAGCGGCACTGAAAAAGAGTGACTTTAGGAGCCTTTTTCACACTTAGGACCCAGTTGCAGCCTCTCCTACGGTCACCTGATTTTACATTCGGACGCTTGGCAACTGCTTCACATTTATGATGGTTGCAGTGTCCCAGGATCACGGGATCCCCTTTTGGTGACCTTCCCACAAGCAAAAGTCAATGGGGCAGCCAGATTCACTTAACAGCGGAGTTACTAGTTTAACAACTGCAGGGTTTCGCTTAACAAAGGTGGCAAGAACAGTTGTAAAATGGGGCAAAACCCACTCAACAAATGTCTCCCTTAGCAACGTAGGCTCTGGGCTCCCTTGTGGTCATAACTCAAGGACTACCTGTAATGCAGAGCCAATTGGCACAAGAATGCCCAGGACCATATCAGTTGCAAACATGCATAAGAGGCCTTCATCCTTCATCCTGAAAACGGGTAAAATGGTTGATGATGATGAGGATTGTTATATACTGTATTATGTTCTCACAGAAATAATCCTCGGCTTACAGCTGTTCATTTAGTGACCATCGAAGTTGCAACGGCACTAAAAAAAGTGACTTATGACTGTTTTTCACGCTTCCGACCGCTGCAGCCTCCCCATGGTCACGTGATCAAAATTCGGACACTTGGCAACTGGTTCACACTTACGACGGTTGCAGTGTCCTGGAGTCATGTCATCCCCTTTTGTGATCTTCTGGCAAGAAAAGTCAATGGGGAAGCCAGGTTCACTTAACAACCATGTTACTAACGTAACAACTGCAGGGATTCACTTAACGACCGTGGCAAGAAAGGTCGCTAAAGGGGGCAAAATTCACATCATGACCCTCTTGCTTATAAACAGAACTGTTGGGCTCAATTGGGGCTCATAAGGTGAGGACTAGCTGTCATTTTATTTTGCATGCTGGTTTCCAAGCACCCGGATTTTGATCAAGTGAACTTGGGTTGTAAGTGCAAAGGCTGGTTGTAAAGTCACTTTTTTCGTTGCTGTTGTAACTTCAAACGGCGGCTAAACAAATGGTCGTAAGTTGAGGACTGCCGTGTAGGTCGTCCTCGGTTTACAGCAGTTCACTTAGTGATTGTTCAAAGTTACAAGGGCACTGAAAAAAGTGACTTATGACTGTTTTTCATACGTACCATCTTTGTAGCATCCCAATGATTGTGGGATCAAAATTCAGGTGCTTGCCAACCGGTTCATACTTATGACCGCTGCTGTGTGCCGAGGTCATGTGATCCCCTTTTTACAATCTTTGGACAAGCAAAATCAACAGGGAAGCCAGATTCACTTAACAACTGGGTTACTAACTTATCCACTACGGTGATTTACTGAACAAGGTCATGAAATGGGGCAAAACTCACTGAACTGAGTCGTGGTGGCGCAGTGGCTAGAGTGCGGTACTGCAGGATATTTTTCTGCTGACTGCTGGCTGCCTGCAATTTGGCAGCTTGATCCTCACGGGCTCAAGATTAACTCATCCTTCCAAGGTCAGTAAAACGAGGACCCAGATTGTTGGGGGCAAGAGGCTCACCATGAAAACCACTTCAGAGAGGGATGCAAAGCACTGTGAAGCAATATATATAAGTCTATTGCTAGGAATGAACGCTAGCTGGATTCCACCCTCCCACCCATCATGCAGTATTGCAGGTTGATTCCTCCCACCGTCAAGAGTTCGATCCTGACCAGTTCAAGGTTGATTCAGCCTTCCATCCTTCCAAGGAGGGTAAAATGAGGACCCAGATAGTTGGGTGGCACCATGTAAACTGCTTAGAGAGAACTATAAAGCCCTGCGAAGCGGTATGTAAGCCTAAGTGCTATTGCTAGTGCTATTATCAAACGTCTCACTTAGCAACAGAACTTTTAACAAAACGTCTCACTCGACCACAGAAATCTGGGGCTCAATTGCAGTTCGTAAGTCGAGGACGGCCTGCAGCGCAGTGTTTCGAATCCCCGGCCTGAGCCGAAGACACCCGGAGTTCCGTTAAGCCCCGCGGCTGGCATTGCGCAAAAGCTGGGTGAGAACAGCCATGGGGTTGAATCCCAATCAATAACCTTCATCCACCATCTGCTACTCAATACGCAGCAAACAGAAGTAGTAGGAGTAAGTAGAACAGGAGCATCTCTTATCATCCCCCAAGAGGGCTCAGAAAGTAGGATTTACAGTAATACTCTTGGAGAAAAAAAATGATCTATACACTCTGTGTTCCAAGCATAGGCGGTGTCCGCTTCCAGCTGCAAGTAAGGGCTGAGGCTGCCGCACTAAAGCCTCCGTTTTTTCCCCCGCTCTCTGCCCCCAACCGCCCAGACCGAGATAAGAAAACCATCGTTTGCAAACTCCTTTCGAGCGGTGCCGAGTTCGAAAGACACAAGAAGCCATTTGTTTGCTGGCCTCGTGTCCGATAGCTGGAATATATCTAACGCTTTGGGGCACAGATGCCCCTCCCCCCCCGCCCCCGGAAGATAAATTGGGATCTGCTGAACAGGTCACTTTTGGGAAGGTTGCAATAGCATGGGGCGGACTTTCAACTCCCAGAATTCCCCAGCCAGCAATGTTTTTTTCAACTTTGGCCACTTTTAAGATTGGTGGGCTATGCTATGCTGGCTGGGGAATTCTGGGAGTTGAAAGTCCACCGATCTTAAAGCGGCCAAAGTTGAAAAAAACATGGCTCGGAGGGTAGGCTTAAGAGAAAGGAAGCAGGATTAGCTAGCACTGCCTTGCACGGGGAGTCCTCGGCTTACAACAGTTCGTTTAGTGATCGTTCAAAGTTATAATGGCGCCAGAAAAGGGGACTTAGGGCCATTTTTCACACCTACGACCGCTGCAGCATCTTTATGGTCACGTGATCCAAATTCAGCCGCTTGGCAACCGGTTCATATTTATAACAGTTGTGTCAACTCAAAAAACATTCCTATGCCTGCTTTAGTAGTTGTCATAAAAGGGCGGGGGGAGGAACGAAATCTGGAAGAGCAGTGCAGCAGTTTGAAATCAAAAGTACATTCCAACTCTTATCTTTAAAAGATTGTAGCTAAAATACCAGAGCTTTTGCCCGCAAATATATTTAATTGGAGACCGTGAATGATGACACCCAGCCTGTGAATGTGCTCAATTGGAGAATCTGGTTTATGAGACACCCGGGGGGGATGGGGGGAAACAGGGTCACAGGGGACTGTAAATTACGTATGCCAGAGTTGGCTTCATACAGGGCAGGGCCAGTATGTCACCTCTAATAAATCCTTTGAAGTTTTTTGAAGTTTGGCTCGAGAATCACGATTTAATTAGGGCGATTGCTGGAATCCTGACAGGTTGCAACGGGGATCACTTTTCGCGACCTTCTGGCCAGCAAAGTCAACAGGGAAACTGGATTCACTCAACCACCATGTCACTAACTTAACAAAGGCAATGATCTGCTTAACAACGGGGCAAGAAAAGTTGTAAACGTGGAGCAAAACTCACTTAACAAATGTTTCCCTTAGCAACGTAAATGTTGGGATCAGTTGTGGTCGTAACTTGAGGGTTACCTGTGATTAGTCTGGGCCATGTTTGACCAAAGGGAACTGGACCCATCTCTGGATGCTTGGGACTAGCAAAGAACCACAACATCCAAATCAGAGTTCCTTGTAACGGATCAAATAAGTCCCAGTTTATTTCTGTCAACAGAATCCCATGCAGGCAGTCCTCGACTTACAACCATTTGTTTAGTGACCATTTGAAGTCACAACAGCACTGAAAAAAAAGGACTTATGACAGTTTTTCAAACTTATGACCGTTGCAGCATCCCCATGGTTCACATGATCAAAATTTAGACACTTGGCAACTGGCATGTATTTACAACTGTTGCACTGTCCTAGGGTCATGTGATCCCCATCTTGTAACTTTCCTTTCCGACAAGCTAAGTCAATGAGGGTAGCCAGATTCGCTTAACAACCAAATGATTCACTTAATAAATGCAATGGTTCCCTTAATGAATGCAAAAAAAAAAAGGTTATAAGATGGGGCAACACTCACTTAGCAACTGTCTTGCTTGGCAACGGAAATTTTGGGCTCAATTGCCTGTTCGAAGGTTGAAAGTTCAATCCTAAGTAGCAGCAGATATTTCTCTCCCAGGGTGCAAAGAAAAAAAAAACTGCTGTGAACTCCACATGGCTTCAGGAAGGGCATCCGGCCAGTAAATGCTCAGCTCCATTCGGTCGCCCCACCTCGAGATCAAATTAAGGGATTACAGGGTCATACAAAGAGAATTTTTAATTGTGGTCATAAGTTGAGGATTACCTATAGTTGTCAGGGAAGGCAACTTCCTGCCAGCTTCCCACAACCAAGTCAGTGGGGAAGCTGGTAGAAAATTGTACTTCCCACACTAGCAAGCTGGCAAGTGCTTGTGGCTGAGTGGAGAACGGTACACGGGTTGGCTAGGGAGGGCGCAACTAGGGTGTGAGAGAGTATAGCTGTCGGGCTTCAAGTTCACTACGGAGCCCGTCAGTTCTGAACAGACCTCACAGCAAGTCAGCTGGCCATGGAGAATATCACCTTATCTCTGCCGCTGCCGGATCTGTATTTCTGTTTGTATGCTGGCCAATGGTGTTGAGAGTTTCTGCAGGATGGATTCTGAAGCAACTGCGGGGCTGCAGGATGGATTCTGAAGCAACTGCGGGGCTGCAGGATGGATTCTGAAGCAACTGCGGGGCTGGAAATGGCTCTTTTCTTGTATTGATGTGGTACATATTGTTAGAGGGGGTTGGGGCACACGTAGGTGGTAAGTAAGCCTTAGATTAAACATGGTGAAGGTGGCACCAGGTGCGGATGAGTTACTGAGGGTCGGAATAGGTTAGGGGTGTAGACATATTACAGGGTTAATAGCATTTAGGGATACCGGGTTAGGTGTGGCCAGAACTAGCACTGCGTATAGGCCTGGGTGTGGTAGGGTGTGTCTCCTGATAACGATAATAAAAGGAAAAGGAACAGACTCAATCCCAACGCTAACCTTGCCTGGCTTTTAGCCTTTCTTGTCAGATAAGAGTATTTGTTGTTTGCTGATCTAATGAATAAACCATCATTGCACTACAAAGGAGCTGGAGTTTGTATTCGTTTCGGGACAAATCTTCAATACTCAAGGACTGGCTGAGAGAAGCAAGGCTCGAAAAAGGCATGGAAAGGTGCTTGAATAGCTAGCATGGCATGAGCCCACAGGAACCGGGGAGGGTATACGAGGGACGGAGACTTATCCGAAGAATTCACAATCTTCCCTGTGGGCTTCCCCACTGATTTAAGTGTGAGCCACTTGCCAATCAGGTGATTGTAGAGGTTCCGTAGAGCTAGAAGTCCAAGAATTAGTTATAACCACCATTAGTTATAACCGCCGTTCATCCAGCTACAGACCATCACTGAATGAATGGTCATAGGCCGAGGACTGTAGAAACCCACGCAGATTATATCTTCCTACATATAATTCCTGCAACAAAATCTTTACACAGTGGTACCTTGATAACTCATCCTTAATTGGTTTCAGGAGATGCAACGAGTACCAAAAATGAGGAGTACCAAACAAATGTTTTCCCATAAGGAATAATATAGTGAGTCCCAAGGCAGCTGACATCAACAAGTTCTAGCTTGTGCATTGTGTACCCAACCAACTAGGCGTACAAAATGGACAAAATGTGCGTGTCAAAATGCGTTGAGCATCACAACTGAGGCCAACCTTTCCGTCGCTAAGTGAGACATTTGTTAAGTGATGTTGGACCTATTTGGCGACCTGTCTTGCCACAGTTGTTAAGTGAATCACTGCAGTTGAAGTTAAGCGGGTAAGACGGTTGCGAAGTGGATCTGTCTTCCCTCTTGACTTCGTTTGTCAGAAAGTTGCAAAAGGGGATCTGCGTGACCCCCGGGGATACTGCGACCGTCATAAGTATGAGTCAGTTGCCAAACGTCTGAATTTTGATCCTGTGACCCTGGGAACGTTACAACGGTTGTACGTGTAAAAAAATGGTCTTAAGTCACTTTTTTCAGTGATGTTGTATCTTCAAATGGTCACGAGATGAACGGTTGTAAGTCGAGGACTACCTGGACCAAGATACCACCGCGGAAATAAGATGCTCTATTTCTTTATCTTTTAGGTCTGGTTTTATTTGCATCGTTCAACGTGTTCCCAAGCCATTTTGGTTTTCGTATATCAACACAAATTTTGACAACCGTTTCCCTTCTGGGGTTGTTTGGATTTTTTTTCTTAATTTCCCAGGCTAGCGGACAGCCGTGATGATTCCCTAGCAAACTCCCATCCCAGGATTCACCTGTTTACTAAATAATATAGGGTCTCCTACTTAACAGATAAACAGATAATCAGAGTTGGAAGGGACTTTATAGGTCATCTAGTCCAACCCCCCACCCAAGCAGGAGACCTTACACCATTTCTGACAAATGGCAGTCCAATCTCTTCTTGAAGGTCTCGAGTGATGGCGCAGGGGGTTAGGCTACTTGAGCAGGGGGGGTTAGACTAGAAGACCTCCCAGGTCCCTTCCAGCTCTGTCCTGTAGTGTTTTGTAGTCTCCTACAAATGCACTTACTGGTTTTCATTCAGGAAACACGGTGCTGAATACGAAGGAGGTGCAAACAGGGATGAACTCCAGCAACCGGAAGCAGAATTCTGCAAAACGACACAAAGCAGGTTTCAAAACTCGTGTGGTAGGTTCAGGGACGTTCAAAGCGGTATCCCTAGTTGACCATTCAAGGACAAATATGTCATGCCGGAAACAATGCTTCTGAGAAGCAAGAGAAGCCTCGAAAGAAGCCAGCAGTTTGCAGAAATATTTAAAAAGAAAACTTTGGGGAGAAGAAAATGACAAAAACGTCCCGCATTACGACTGGCCTGTCCCACTTGTGCTGGCAGAGGAGGCATGCGACGAGTCCCGTCAGACCAATTATTCCAGCTGGTGGGATTCAGGAGCAGGGCCTTCCCTGCTGTGGCTCCTGCCTTCTGGAACATCTTGACCCTCCCTCCCGCCACCACCCATGTAAGGTTGGCCTCCATCCTCCCACCCTCTCGTAAGGGCCTAAAGACCTGGCTCTGCCGGTTGGCCTGGGGGCCTCCGGTGAGGGAATAGCACAATGGAGGAGGTTGATTGGATAGTAACAGATTCCCCCAATCCCTCTCCCCGCATTCCATCCTCAGCTTCGTCACATATATCCTTGACTTTAATCTTTGGCTTTAGTTTATGTAGGTTTTAAAGTGCATGTAATTTTTTATATCTGTCAACCATGATAGATAGATAGATAGATAGATAGATAGATAGATAGATAGATAGATAGATAGATAGACAGACAGACAGACAGATAGATAAGATAGATAGAGATAGGTAAGATAGATAGATAGATAGATAGATAGATAGATAGATAGATAGATAGATAGATAGATAGATAGATAGA